TGGGTGCAAGAATTAGGTATCTGTAAATACTAAACCAGGTTTATATTCTTTCTGAATGTTGCCTAGAGTCTTACTGTTATTAGTAACTTAATTCAAATGAGCATGCCATCAACTGCATCTGCTGCCTGGAAGCAAGCAATGTGGTACGTAGCATTGTCTAGACTGGAGTGATCAGCGTGAGGACTTACGCTTCACTACGACCTTGTTTTATAGCAGCCTCAATTTTGCCCTTTGTGCTATCATACAAGGCTTTCCTTTCCTCTAAAGCATCATAAAATTACAAGTTTCTTCTGTAAGATGGTCTTTAAATGGGATTAGAAAAGAATTCAAGGGGAAGAAGCTACAGCTGTGACGAAAAGAAAAACTAATTTAACCCCCCTCTCTACATCTCATTACAAAAAAACCCAGGTGGCTTATTGAAATGGTGCCTGTTTTTCTAGCACAAAGCCATTATTGCAGTTTTGGAGCACAGGTTTGCTTTTCCATGCAATTTCTGTTGCACAACTCATGTTATTTCTTGTGTAGCATTGCATCCTCAAGACTATTTTCCCCCTCAACCTAATGCTGCCTTTATATTGAAAATCTTCTGTTCTAATGTAGGTGCAGAATTTCAGCATTGTCATATGAAAAAATTGAGTTAAGGCCATCTTAAGAAAAAAAAATACTGAAAAGTAATGACTTTTCTACTCTGGATGTACCTGCATTCCTAGATTTTTAATTTTCTTTCCTCTTAACTGTTACAGATGGGGTACTGTAGCACTGTTGATGTATTTCCCTCATTAAGCATATAATGAGCTAAAACTAGTGCTACATTTTTAATTGCTTTCCTAAATGACTGGGAGAGGGAGAACCTTTCATTAAAATTTAACTCCTGATGTGATTTGTTACAATAATTACTGTATTAGATTAGTGTCATGGATTTTTTCGTATGTATTTCTTCTCCCTGTTAGGTTGGGGGAATTAAAGACAAAGTCCTGGCAGCACACCGAGCTGGACTGAAGAGAATTATCATTCCTCGAAGAAATGAAAAAGATCTTGAAGAAATTGCAGTGAATGTACGGCAAGATTTGACTTTTGTCATGGCAAGCTGTCTAGATGAAGTTCTTAATGCAGCTTTTGATGGAGGATTTGCAGTTAAGCCCAGAATTGAGCGTTTGAATAGTAAACTTTAAGCAGACAGGCCAAGATTACTTCTGTATCAAATTTAACAGAGATCAATAACTATCAGCTATATATGTATCAAGTATAACTATGAGCTAAACTTGATTGTTTAAATGGGGGTGTACATGCAATCAAAATTAAAATAATACTTCAGCAATTGACAACCTAAACCCACATTTTATGGGCATTTCCTGCTCTTTACTGTCATCAACAAAGAATCATGAAAAAAAAAAACAAAACAAAACACACACCAACTAATTTCCTGATAGAATCAAGCATGAGAAAGCTGAAGCTGTTGAGAAAGAATTCCTTAGCTTATCTGGCATATGTGTGTATAAATGTCAGCAGCTGATTACCTCTTTAAGGACACACCCACAAACAAGGAATAATATGCAATTCTGTGAGCAATATTCAGAAGACACAAATTGCAGCACAGCACAGTAACAGATGGGGTTGTTACCGAAAAGCAATCTGATTTAGGGCAAGAGTTTACTTATTTAGGAAATAACATTCAGTATGCTAAGGAGCAGTAGCATCACAGGAAATACAGGGTTTTCAAAATCTACAGAATATGCTTAATGGATCTGAACAGCAGCAAAAGATGGTTTAAGTTAGTAAGTCCTTTCAGCACTCAGTTCCAGTTTGTAGCAAGGTCAAGGCAGACATCATTTTTCAAACCTAAACCCAGGAAGCAACTCCAGGAGAACTGAAATGTACTTCCTGGGTAGGAAGGGAGATAGTGCACTAAAGGTCACGTGCCCACAGCTGTCCTTGCAGCACCAGAAGTAGGTGGAGCACACTTGAAGACTTACTTTATGAAAAAGCCTGGTAACATTTTGGAGGGTCAAAGTACATGTCCTTCATTCTTACCTGATACAAATCAACCTGATTCTGGGATGCCCACATTCAGAGTTTAACCTATAAAAATTAAATCCATTTAAACAATGCCAAGAAAATACTGTACCGTTACGGCATTAGGTACTGTCTACTGTGAATAATTTAAGGTTTAAGTCTGTCAGTGCGCCATCTCAGCTGCTACCTTTGTCTCTTCCCTTGAATGTTAGTGAAGATAGAAATTTAAACTTATGTAAGATCCTTGGGTTTTACATTGTTTTATGCTAGAGTCAACCACAAGAGAAAACCCAGTATGTTACATTTGCTTCTTGCTCATTAATTCTGCAACAAACTCAGGTGCTTATGACATGCAAATTCTATCAGTGACAAAAGCCTATTACAGAAGCAGCCTATAAATCAAGCATAATAGTTTGTTTTGCTGTAATTTCCACAGACAGAAAGTTGATTTACCCGGAACATAACAGCACGGATAGTAATAAATTCAGCGGGTATTTCTGCACCTCATTTACAAAAGATTTACAACTTGCACAGAAGACTTCATCTACTAATAAAATGATAAAAATAAAAATCTCTTTTGTTTCACTATTTTAATAATTCTGCTTTTAGCCATTCACTAGCCACGTTTCAAGGACAAGAGGCAAAACCCACAAGTCTCAGAATACTTCCTGCCTTGCAAACTCCTTGAACACAAAAAGTGCAAAGAAACTAGACAATCAGTGAAATGCCAGAAAGGACGGGTAACTAATGTGCACCTTTGCCTTTAATCAAATCTGGGAGGAGGGGCAATGGAATTTTTACCAAGCTTAATGCAGATCGAGTAACAATCCTGCACTACTTTGCACTAGTGAGAAAACAGACATGCATGGAATTCCAGGGCAGTCTCTTTATACACACGAAAAACTTTTTTTTTTTTCTGAAAGATAGCAAGTACTGCAAAAAAGAGCTTCCACAGCAGTTTCACTACAGAAGAAGAGGGAATTGCTCCCAATAAAAGTTAAGCAACAACTTCGCATACCACAGCACTCCACTGCATAAGTCTTGTCCACATGGACTTTATCTGAAAGGTGAGAGTTTTAATACTGCTCTGAAGATACTGAGGCATTTACTTACACCTTTTCATGTTCCTGCTTACAGAGCTGACTTAGTTATGTTACCTTGTTGAGATTTGTAAAATAAAACTTAAGCATCATTCATTATGTTAGATACCAAAGATACATTTTGGTGCCTTTTCTTTTGCTTTCACTGAACACTGTCAAGAATAACAACAGTCTGTGCAGCAGCAAGCCAGAACAGTAAAGAACTTTTTACAGTAATTTCAATACACTGGGGATTATTCTTCTGCTTTGCAACTGACAGCTAAATGGTCCTGATATTAAACGTGTCCCTCAAAATATACCATAAGATGGCTAAAGCTCATCAAAGTTAAGAAGAAAAGCAGTGGTAGCTCCTTTCCTCTAGCTACACTGTAAACTGCTACAGCTGGTAATTACCCATTAGTGCAATTTGTGCTTTAACCACAATAGCTTTGAAAAGATACTGGATAATACAACAGTATAGGCAGCAATACAAACCAGTTCACCTGCTTTAATTTTAAAGCACTACTGAAAACAAGAACTAGCAAGAAATGTCAAAACAGAACCCAAATATTAACATCCATACTTGTCAAACATTTTCCTTTTAAGGCTTTTTTTTTTTTTTAAAGGGCACTGAAAAACAGTGGAGGTAGTGCTAGGAGATAAATGCAAGGTCTACTGTATTCCATGTCATGTGTTAAAGACAAATTTCAATACTCTTTCCCAACACAGCCAAGTGAAATAGTACTTTCTAAAATAAACAGGTAATGTTAAGACAATGCCAGGCTTTAATACACCATTTATTTTAGATAAGGTAGTAAACTGTACAGATTTCTAATATGTTTTATCTTTTCATATGTAACAGAGTATAGTTGACTTACCAGATCCTCAAACTTTCAAGGAGATCCAGCAAATTAGGCTTCTATTACTTTTGAGGATCTGGGCCTAAGAATAATTTGTTTCAGTCATTCCATCTGATGGTATACACCAAATGTTTTACACAGATTTATTTTTTTTTTAACACCAAATGGAGTAGTAATAGTTTACATTACAGTAAGTCAGCATAGTTATGTCATCTGTAAAACATGGAAAAAAACTGACCGTACCCATTAGCTTCTAGAGCTCAATGCAAAGGCCATTTTTTAAGTCCCCTTCAGAAGCACAGTCCTGATCTTCAGCCCATTCCAGCCTAAATAAAATCACTGCACATCAGTGCAACGAGGTTTTATGGTTCACAGTTCTTTTGGGGACACAATATAAGTTGAACTATTCCAAGTACAGGCAGCAGCAGAGAGCAGTCTTACACAACTTGTGTGCTTACGCAGCTCTGTTACTCTCTAATCGTAAGTATCCGCCTGTGGAAGGTTCTTAGCTAGATTTTCTTGGCAAACCTGGAGAGCTGAAAATCAGATAACCTTGGCAGGGAAACTTCAGTCCAAGCCAGCCAGTCACGAGTGAGCAAGTGAGATGGTGAGTCAGTGTATTCCTCTAAAAATATTTGAAGTATTTAGCCAAGTTTCTGTCAAAGACCAGAAGACAAACCTGAGGTAAATGTAGACAGGCTTAATTAGGTGAGAATAACTACTGAATTTAGAAGACTGCAAACAAGTAGTTGTATACTCATAATGAAAAAACCTGCTAGTTTGCAGGGTTTTCTGAAGCTTTTATCTACTGTCACAAGGTACCAGTACATCTCTTAAATGAAATCTGTGCACAGTTGGAAAAGCCTAAACACCAAATTTCAAGAAGTGAAACTTTTACTACATGAAGCCAACTATTCCTGTAGTCTTTTCTTAATCCAGCCTGGATTTTACGTTCCTTACCTGTAGAACTACTTACCTCATCATGCATCAAAACAGTAAGAACAAGAGTTGTCTTAATGGAACTTCTGATAAGAAAGTTAAGACAGTGCAGAGTAAATAAACTGTATTTTAATGTGTTACCAACGTAGTTAAAAGCCAGACTACCTCCCCGAACAGACATCCACTACTACTAGGTTTGACAAAGATTTCTCTCAAATAGCTTGAAATGGAACAACTTTTCACCTTACTCTTTTTTTCTGTCTCTATGCCCATGTTTTGTAACACAAATACCATTTACATTCATGGTTAAATTTTTCACATATTGGTAGTCTGGATAAAGCCCAACATCCTTCCAAAGCCTTTATGGCTGGTGAATCACACCTGTTAGAGATTATTTGCATTGTGATGTGTATCATGTCACTAAAATTATATACAAAAATCGGTTCAACACAGTTCCTTTAGTAACAACCAAAACACGTGAAGACAAGAAACAGAGCAAGAGTATCAATGTGTCAAACTTTGAGCTAAAGCAAAAAGCAAAAGTTGGGGTTTTTTAATTTGCCAGGTATTCTTTTAATGACAAATATAAAAAGACCGAAAACATCTCATTCTGACTGCCTTTTTTTCCTTTTTTTTTAAAACAAATGGCGGTTTTATAATTACAAATACTGTGTAAGACAATACCTTCTCTGTACTGCAAAACCAACAAACACAAGGAGGCAATCAAGTTTCTAAGCATCTCTAAATTTGAAAAGTGAATGATTTTTTTTTTAAGTTCAAAAATTCTTAGTAATTGTTCATTTTTGTTAGAAGATAACTCAAAGTACAACAACATCTAGATCTGTTTTTAAAGGAGCTTTCTTTCCTGATACATCTTTGAACATAAGTACTCCTTTCTTTCGAGTTCAGTACATTCACAAAATAGCTCAATTAAGAACAGTATCACCAATGAATTGACTACTGGAAAGAGACAAAATTTACCAAACATACAGAAATATAAGTTTTACCATAGCAATTATGCATATCAAAAGATGACACCTGTAATTAATTTTAAAAAGATACAAAAAAGAGAAAAACCTGAATTACAGAAAAGAAAGTCATATTTATTTAATGAAAAACTAGAAGTTAATAAAAATTAGCAAATACACAAAAAATATACACAAACAGCAGCAATACTATGTAATGACTTACAAAGGGGGGGTTGGGGGAGGAGGAGGGGAAGCAGCGGCCAGAGACCAGACCACTCAACATGGCTTGTCAGTCAAAGGGGGAGGAAAAAAACACAAACAAAAACACGAAACAGTATCCTTTTCAACAGTACAATCAATCTACAAACAAGTTTTTAGAATTATTTTACAACATATCCTGTAGAATCAATTCTTAATACAAAAGATGCCCGTTTTGGGGGTATATATATTTTCAGTGGTTTACTGTTGACTTCTTTTAAATATATTAAGTGTTACTACATGCAACTGCTTCCTGTAATTTAACAGCCTTTCCTTTTCTTTACCTTCATATATGTCTACCCTCCATCTACCACATAATTTGTCTGACAGTCAAAGATGGTTACCCTAGCTTCTGCTAAATTAAACACAACGGTTTTAAACACTGGCCTGAAGAGGTTTGATTGCCATTTCAACACATGGATATAGTTACATTGATGCCTAGATTGCCATTTTCTGCAAAGAGCTGTGCAATGCTGGTGTCAAAGACTAGACAGTCACTATTCATAATGGCTGTTGCAATTCCCTCATGAATAGATCGAGGAGTTGCTTCCCAAGTCAATCGCCGCCTATGACCATTTAACTCAAGTCGATAAGCAAAGTTTTCTGCTTGCTTGCGTGTTCCTATCAGCTGTACAATTGCAAAGAACTGCTGGTGACCATCATATTTTTCCTGTTTCTCCAACACTAACATGAAATGAAAGCCAAAACAAGACTGCATCATAACCCAGTCAACAGCACCAGGAAGATTAATGTCTGTAGCAAGGAACACTATATCTTCTCCCTGAAGTGTTGTAATTGACTTATGTTGATGCATCAGATGTGGCATTACAGCATCCAGAGAGCCTTGCCATTTACATGAAGCACCGGGACATGGACAGGAATAAGGCCTAAACTCACACAGCTCCTCATGGTCTGCTTTTTCTGTGTGTGGCAAAGTTATCTCACATCCGGAAGAGGCATATTTACAGGGGAATAGTACAGAATTGGCAACTTTCTCCATCGCCAGGTTACGAATGGAGCCCAGCGGGCCTCGGCAAGTTGGACAGCACGTAAGCTTGGGGCGACAGTTGCTACAAACAAGATGGCCACTCTGACACTGAAGAATTGGTGGCAGCACATAGTCAAAACACACAGGACACTCAAAGAGACTAGCCAAGTCATTATTGGAAGCTGTAGTGCCAGTCAGTGCAGGCACCCTCTGCGATGGCGTGCACTTTGAAGTACCTGTAGGTAGTGCTGTAGCAGTCTGACGGCTCATTTCTGTAACACAAGAGAGAAAAAAGAATGAGTATCTAAGCACATTTTGTTTTCCTCTGCCTGCAGTATTTCTTGATTTACAAAGAAGCTACAAGAGAAAACAGACACAAATGAAAGGAAAAAAATACCATGTAATGCAAACTGTAGGTACGTTACACGTAGAGTATCTGTTGTGCTGCATACACTACAGACACTTGCACGACATCCAAATTTATCAAATGGAGAAGTTCTACTAATTATTCTGAAGTGGAATTTACCTATTGGAAGCTGCAAGGGAAATGAGTAAAGATACACTAAAAAAAGCAACTGAAATACTCAAAAGTAGTCTGTTGTTTTTCCGCGGGTTTTTAAATATTGCATCTGTGAAATATTCCACCCAGATCACTTATGTGTAGCAACAACTAGAGGCACTATGGAACAATCCTAAGGCTGAATTTTAAGTTGCTGCGTATTTAGTAAGACAAGAAACTAGCCATTTTTAATGAAAAAATGAACTTCCGGATATGACCTTCTCAGTAATCATGTTTACTGTATAATTTATTTGAAAAAATTAAAAAACAGTATGAAGCAAATACATAGCTAAGATTACTACACTGCTTTTTTCCCAGGATAGGATAGTAACTCTTCACCTTCATTACTCCGTTACTAAGGTCTATAGCTTGTAAAGTGTATCCATTGCTTCAGCTCCCTGAACTAAACCATTTGTGAAGACACCAGAAAAGAAAAACAGTTATTTTATTGAATTTCCCAAATGAGACAATAAATTAGAAAGATTAAATTTGACAATTAATTTTAACATGTAAGTACTCAAATATTTCCCGTTGATGAAGTTTTACGTTCAGTGGAGTTTACACTGAAGTTCTACTCTTTCAAATGTCCCCAGACAAAAGTTAACAGCCATCTGACCAGGCAGCCTACTCAAGCATTCAACAGAAGCGGTAAAAATACCGTATTTCTTAACATTTTATGGATGCGACACTTCTTCCTGCACCCCCCAACTCTCCTCCTTCTTGTGCAAAAGGAATTACTAGTGCTACCAGAAAAAATAAACACTCCAGTTTGAAAAAATAAACCTTACCTTCGTAGGTTAAGGAAAGCTAAGTAAAATGCTGTCCAAAATTGGCTTCTGTTACATGGTAAAATTCTCAACCACCTTAAGCGCTCCTCTGCAAGTACTCCAGCTCTGCATCTGTCACGTGTGTATAAAGCTCTCAAAATAAACCTCCTTGCTATCCGACATGGGAATATTAGGCAATAGGCAAGCTTCCCGTATTTAGAATCATTTCACCCACAAACTTACTCATACTTGGACTGGATACCTCAAAGCAGCATACTGTGCATGCTTTTGCAAGATATGCACTGTTCAGGGCACGAAGCAAAGGAACTAAGAGATTCTAACATGCAAAATAACTTATCCCTTGACATTCAAAAAGTAGTCGTAGACAAGCAACTTCAAATTCTTCTACAGAAGCACCTCTCCCCAGTCCAGAGCTAGAAAAACGTGAGTGTCTAAGATCTGGTATTCAGTCACTGTTTTTATAAGTCTCACATGCCCATCAACAGCATCATCTCATCCCCCCAAAGCCCCTTCCTTCATCTCAGGCTTGCTGGACTAGAAATGCCCAGTTCCCATCTTCAGAAAAAAAACATACAGTGGTTTTCAATGCTAGGCCTTAACTGATACTGTAGAGATATGAGAGGAATGTTTGTATCTTTTGGCCTTATTTTCCTACTGTAAGGCACTATCTTAGATGAAAAGTTATCTGTGACAAATCAAATATTATGTTCTGGGGAAGTGATGCCACACCAGCTTGTTGTGAGGGGATTCAAACAATAAGGCCTCTGTGACAACCGAGCGCTGCTGCTATTTTTCCCCAACACCCGTAGGTGGGAGACCCATGATGGCACACCACAGTTTTACGCTCTAGAAAAAATTATACAGAGAGTAACTGTACACAGGAGAACACATTCTCATCACTCTGTTCGCTTGGAAAGAGCTTAGAAATCACATGCATAGTCATGTGTAAAATTCTAGAAGTGTTTCCCTTCAAATATTGTAAACACACACGTTCCAGCAAAGTCTGTGTGTGCTTCATCTTACCTGAACCGATACGTCCTGATCGAGGGATGCCCAGTAACCCACAGATAACACTGTTGAAAACCACCACGTTCAACCAGTTCCCTGGGCAGTCTGACGAGCTGGGTGAGCCCTGGTTTCTTTAATTACACCTCTCAGAGCCCATTCGACAGTTAAATTAAGCAACCTACAAACTTTGCAAAGGCCCTTATGCACAGATGTATTTCCCGCTTAAGCTTTCTAAGCTACGGAAGTGCCAGAGAAGAGAACCCTACGGCCCCGGTTTATCACCGTTTCTTTATGTGACCGGCCTTCACACACACCTTCCACAACCGAGGACCATCCAAACGAGCAGGAATCTAGGAATCTGTGAACCAGACCACTGAGATTAGCACGCAAGGAGGAAACTGGATAAAGCTATAAACTGCAATTTACCAAGACTAAACCTGCCCAAACCCTGGATTTTCATCACTCGTGTTAGCACAAAGATGAATAATACATCGTGATGGAAAAGTCAGAGAAGTTCATTTTTTATAGCTATCTTAAAAACTATGAGCTAATCACAAGTCAAAGTGTTAACAGTGCAATACGTTTAACCCACCAAACTATCAAAACCATACAATTACAAACCAATTAAAAACAACTACGGAACTGGAAGTAAAGTTTAAAGGTATTTTTAGTTACAAAACTTTACTATGGGTAAAAACCCCAGTATGCAGTATCTGTTATTATGTTATTTTTGTTCACACACACTAGGAATAAGCCTCTAAGCAACAGTGACAAACTAAAGTACAACAGGTGTCATTTTCAGAAGTACTAGTTCCTACAACGCAAATTATTCAAAAAATTAGATAAACTCGAAAAAGTTTAACCACCAGAAAGAAAAGAGTGAAAAGAAAAACGTGTGTTTTAAGATTTCCTAATTCTAGATGAAGAAAAACCCTGTCCTTGAGGACATCAGAACACAGCAACCTGTTGATGAAACTATTCTCCACACCGTTCTGGGGAAGGGTGAAACACACCCGCTACCGAGATCTCCCGAAGGACACGACCTGGCAAAACCCACTCAAAACACCGCGCACACCGCGACAGAGGAGGCACTACCTTTCCCCTCGCTGGGTTTACTTCCCGGCCAGCACGCACACCAGACTCCCTTCCACGCAGACGGAGAGCTGGCGGCAGATCTCCCCGTCATAGGGCGTGAGGCCGCTCATGGCGGTGCCGCGCAGCAGAGGGGCGCGGGCCGGGCGCTGCCCCTGGCGAACGCCCCCGCGATCCCCGGCGGGACACCGCGCGTCGCCGTTACCGCGCCGGGCCCGGCCCCCGCCATTTACGGCCGCGCACGCTTCGCATCTCCCGGCTCCCTGCACGCTCCGGCCCGGCGCCCCAAAATGGTTCCCCAAACTTGCCGGGCCGGGCCGGCTCCTCCCCTCTCGCGCTGCCCCGCGCCCGGCGGCCGGCCAGCGGCTGCGGTGGCGCGGCCATTGGCTGCCCCGGGCTGGGCCCCGCCCCCGCCCCGGCCATTGGCTGCCCCGGGGCCGGGCCCCGCCCCGCCGCTGCCCGGGGCCGCGCAGGGGAGGGCGCGGGGGCGCGCAGGGGAGGGCGCGGCAGCCACGCTCGGGCGGCCCCGCGCACTCGAGGGGCGGGGAGGGGTGGGGTGGTGTGGGCCCCGCCCCGGCCGCAGAACCGGAACCCCGGCCCCCGCCTGAGAGCGCCTCTGCCCCCCGAGCAGCGCAGCGCGGGCTCGGGCGGAGGCGGGCGTAGCGCCGCGAACCGCTCCCTCCCTGCACGTGTCACCGCGCGGTCACGGGGAACAACAACAGTACGTGCTCTACACGTGTCACACCCAGCTCTCTTCCGGGTACTTACAGATTGACGGATCTGACCATCTTCCCTAAGTAACTGTTTTTAAAAGCTATAGGGTCCATTAAAACCTCTTCTAACACATGAGCTTCATTTCCTGCTCCTGCTACTGCATGCATACTGCTCAAATCAGCATTTTCCACGGTGCATCTATAAAATACCCATTCAAGAGGAATTTTCTTCATTTGTATAAAGATTATTCAATTATGCAAAAGTAGTAACCTCAAGGAAAAGACGTGACCAACAGATCTAGAACGATGTGGCATATTCGAATATCCAGGTGGACTATTAAAAAAAATTAGTATAGTTTAAAGGTAAATGAGTTGAAGACCACGTCAACATGCTTGCATGATGCACACACTGGGCTCAGAAAAGCTTAGGTGTTACAGAATACAGACGTAATGATGATAAGATCATGGAAGTGCAAGTTTCAGGGGAGGCAACAGAAGAGTTCACTGTAATAAACTGTTCTGGTTGCATAAAAAGGCTACAGTATCTCAGTAAAGGAAATTATCTTAAAAAATGCTTTCCTGATATTTGAAATTCAAGTCCTGTTCAAGGAAGACAGTGGAAGCTTCTATCAGCACTAAAACGTGCAAATAATACCCAACTACAATTAACAAAAACTACTAACTCGATACAAGGTATGCTTCAGCTTTGCTCCCAAATGTGCAATATCCAACATCCACACCAGTTAAGAAAGTTTCCAAGCAAAACATAAAAGCTGAAGAAAACCAGCACAGAAATGACTTTCGAGAACTTAAAGGCGTGTTCTGAGCTTCTGAAACCGGCCCTAGGCCTCCCCTCCCGCAGCAAAGCAGCTGTCCCCAAAACAAAACCACAAGCCCTTCCATAGGTCAGCTAAAGCTGTATGCTCTTTGCTACCCTGCGGTACAATGTGCAATGCCTGAAGAGTGAAAAAGCCTTTGAAACCCCAGATGGGTTAAAAACAAAACAAAACAAAACGGGTGAGAATAGGAAGATGCAATCAGTTCACTGTTTAACCAGCTCAGCTGAGGGGCAGACATGAGGGAAGTGCTTGCAAGAGAAGTTCAAAAAGCTGATGTACCCCACATGCCATGGAATTAACAGTATGTAGAATTGATTGCTACCCTTCTCAGCTTCTCATCTTTCAAAGGTGTCAGCTTCACACACCATTCTAGAAATCACATCTCCTGTATTTCACTGAAATACGGGGCACCTTTGACAAATTCAAGTTAATGCCATCCACTTCTCCAAAATCTTTCCTCATACCACATAGTAAGACTTGGGTTTAACATTTGATTTGTTTTTGAGAGAGTAACTTAATATTAGTTTTGGAAAAAACACCCACAAAACTTCTGTACAGTCATCTTAATGGCTAGAAGGGGAAAAGAATCTCATTATATAAAGCCGAAGAGTGATGCAAGGACAGAAAAAAGTGCCTTATCACAAATCTCTCTCTGTGATGCAATAATGTATTTTTTCAATCACATTTCAGAACTAATTGAATTCAGAGACTTCCATTCAAAATACATTCTTAATGCACTACAGCCAAAGTAATACAAAATATTTCAACTTTTTCAACTGTGCAATCATATTTGAAAATTAGACTTTTTTAAAAATAATACCCTGTTACAGAGCACTAGAAATTAGAACATTTCATGATAGTGTTTGATGTTGTGAAAAACACTGACCAGTTACTTTTTTTCAAGATGCGATATAAGCCAGATTCTGAAAACCCAAAAGCTAAATGATTTGTTGAAAATACTCATTAAACAGGTGTAAATACAAACTTAGAAGAATATACAGTAAGATTAGCCAGTATCATATTTGTACAATTCAGTACTGATAACTTCTGTAAAATATTTTAAACAATAAATATTTTGTAAAATATTATAAACAATACATTGAATATATTAAAGTCTCCAATGTGTTTTGGCAGCAGAAGGAAGGTTTCATGAATGCAACAGAAAAAATAAGTGTGTGTATATTTAGAAACAAGAATGGGGGGGGGGGGTGTACACATATACAAGTGTACACAAAGTACATAATATCATACCCAAGAAACTGCAGTGTTACTGATACCGAGGTCCCAAGTGGATATTATCTTGAGAATGAAGGTAATTAAAAAGCACATTTTGTTCTGATTAAAAAGAGGTACCAGTGTATTTTAAGTATGGAGCTTTCTTGCAATTTTTAAAATATTATTAGGTTAATTTTATAATAAAAATTCTTAGGATACCATATTTTTGTACCATAGCTGCAGCTGCTCAATCACAAAAAGTCTTAAACTGCTGAGGACATCTATAGCACTACAGAAAAGCCAGCTTTTCAGTTACATGTACTTACTATTTCTGAAAGTAATTTTCCAAGGAATCTACCTTTCGTCTGTCCCCTCTTGCACTCATAATTGTCAATGTGCAGCAAAATAGAATGGAAAAAGGTTTTAGCAGGCTTTAGTGAAAATATTGTATATTGCCCTCACCAGTACCAAAACCAGACCTCAGCAAACACACGTAACATTAAGAGTATTATGTACAAGCGTCTCAGAGAATAGCTTGTGAATATTTTTTTTATTTATAGTTTTAATATTTATTTACATTTTACAAGACATTTATAGGGCCCAAGGTTTTTCCATTTTGAAGTCTATCAATTTACGTCTCAGCTCCTGAGAGATGTTAGATCACAAAGGCCTGGCACGGCTAATCTCAAATGCATGCCTACTCCTGCAAATCTGACAACAGTGGGCACAGAAATGTACAGCCCTGCTTATACACAGTGTCTGTGCCTACTGGCCTACTTCAAAACTTTTAGAAGATAGTTCATGACATAAATTATTAATCAACTACATAACACAATTTAGTCTCTATACAGTCTGGTTTTGGTTAATGAATTACTATTTTATTTTCAACCCTTCCAGACACTGTTTTCTTTAAAGCCCTTAACTATGGGTTATTTGTTATTTTAGACACCTCAGGGCTTCTCTTTTTCTGCATAATAACCAAAAGCAGGAGCAATCTAACGTATCAGAATATTATAAAACAAGACAAAAAATTTTACAAAATTGAGGCAAGTGTCATGATGATTTCCCGTTCCAAAACGTCACCTGTCCAGTCCATCTCCTTTTCACACAAAATTACAACAATTTCCACCTCGTAGTCACCCAGCCTGCCTGAAATTGCAGGCAGATTTTTTTTCTTGCACCTTAAGACATTCCATACCAACCCCTCTTTCCAATCATCAGGAAAGGAAATCCCAATGGATTTATATACTCATGGAATCAGTCATCATCTTCATGGCTACCCCTCTAGTGAACCACCAGACCTTAACACTCAGTGTTTCTGATGCTATCCTGTACGTTCCCTTGTACACAATATGATCATCAACTGAGTCACTGCTAGTGGGCAATCCAGATCTCCAAATTCAACACATGCTATGTGGCAGATGCAGATACAAACAGCACTATGGAAACACAAACAGTATTATTACACCCATCAAATTATAGTGACCTGTTTCTACTCCAATACAAAAACTGGAGCCTTGGCTGGTGCTGTTTGACTTCGGCTTCCTCGCTATCATTAATTATTTCTCCTGCCTATCTATGCCAGAACATCAAACATCAACCCAGGAGGTGCATTTTTGTAGCTATCAAAGAATTTCTTTCCAACAACTTTGTAATGTAAATTAAGAAGGACCAGCGTCCTATAGAAGATATACAGCAACCACATAAAAAACATACTAGCAAGCAGCTACTGCCATGACTACAGCATTCATTTTTAAA